TTTTGAGTGGAACTAATGAAATAAAGAGAAATGTGCATGGTTTTGAATAAGTAAGAGCCACTTGAATTGGAAAATAAAAAGAAAAGAAAGAAAAAAAATAGTTGTATTGTTGCGAAAAATATTCTTTGATAAGTGGTGACTATTGATATAATTGTGCTTAAAGAAGTATGAGGTAATATAGATTGATGTGAAGGTGGAGTTTTGATTTGACACAAGTGGGGTTTTAAATGTTAAAATGTATGTATTAAAGTGCTTAGGGAGGTGTAGTCACTCTTATATCTAAATGCATCATACCCATCTCGCAGCCTACATTACAACCAAATAAAGTCTTACTTGATCCTAGACTGAATGAGCTCGATTAGTAGAATAGTACACTACGAGCAAACTTACGGTGCATCTTTTGTGGCATATGAATGTTATTTCTGAGAGTGGGTGAATTCTTTCTATCTTGAGTTCCTAAGTGTACTTAAATTTTATTGTGTTGAACTATTCTCTTTTGTTGTGTGAGGACACTTGATTCATGAAGGAAATATAATGTTAGTGACCTCTATGTTAGAGTAAGTGGGTGAGTTGTGAATAATGCATGGTACTTGTGATTCAAATCTTGAGCTGAAGATGTTACGCTTTTGTGCTTAGTCTATTTTAAATATTCTTGGTGTGATGAGTTAGGAGAATTGTTTAAAAGGTCGTGTCTACATAAAGTGTAGTTTGATTGCTCGAGGACGAGAAATGGTTTAAGTGTGGGGTGTTGATGGTAGGCTATAATTACGTATTTTAGTCGCTAATTACACTCTAATTTCCTGCACTTTAATTGAGTTTGAGCTTTAATCGCTAGTGTTTTACATTAATTGTGTGTTTTATGCTTTGTAGGAGTGATTCCGAGCTATGTAGATGTAATGGAATGAATTCAAGTGATTTGGAGCTTTGAAGTCTGAGTAAAAACCCAAGGAATTAAGTCAGGATCGTGTTCGGGGATCAACAGATGATAGTTATGAACGAACAAAGAATCGAGTAGGTATATTGCGCATTATTAAGTAAAATACACATAACTTTTCTCTCAGAACTCCATTTGAGCTCCACAATATATAGTTGGAAAGGTAACTTAAAGAGATACAACTTTTATGTTTTACGTTTTCCCAAATTCCAAACGTAACAGGATGAAAAGTGCACGGCAAGTGCGCAGACGCACACTGGCCGCACAAATGGGGCAGAACACTGGGCAAGATGCGCGGGCAATCCGCGGCCGTGCACATCCTATCCGAGAAAAGTATCCTTTTTCAGATATAATTATTTTTGCCCGACCCTACTTGCTATATATACATGGAAGAACGATATTTTGAGGAGTTTTGACACACTTTTGACATAATTTAGACCTAAGGAGGCTAAGGAGACCGGGGATTCGACCTAAGGAGGCAAGAACACACTAGGAGCAAGGATTAGAATTCTTCTACGAGTTTTTCACTTCCTTCTTCCTATTTTCATTATTGGTTATGAATTCTAGTATTGTAGTTATGCATACTATTATGAATAGCTAATCTGTTATCTAGGGTTTTGATGGAACCTATTGAAGGATGATTTTTCTGTTACGTTAATATAGATTTGTTGTATCTTTTTCTCTTTTAGTTCAACTACGTTTATATTGTGATTGGTTGAAGAGCTCTCAATCTACTGTGCCTATTTAGTGTGTACTACTCGGGAGAGAGTGCATATTTAGGTAGTTGTTGAACAACATCACTCCTAACGTATATGAGGGATCAATACGAAGGGTTTAAAGATGGGATTAAGGATAACGAAGCCTTGGTGCGATCCGAGTGAGCCATATTTAACGCCAGCTAGCGTAATTCGGAAAAATATGTCTAGTAAATTGTAGCAGTTACTCGGGGAGAGAATTACGACACTCAGAGTGCTCATGATCGGTAGAGAAGACTTAGGCAAATTTATAGAAAACGTAGCGGAAAGGATTCCGACAATTGGGGTAATCATAACTCTAGACCTCCTTAATCTTTTCTCCAACCCGTAGTATCTTTAGTTGTTAATCTACTACTTTAATTATTTTGATTGATTAGATATAAGAATCTTGATATTTATAACTTAGGAATTGTTCGAGCTTATCTTCTTAGCGATAGTCAACAACAGTAGCTAAGCTTTAGTTCTCTGTGAGATTCGACTCCGGACTTATAAATCGGATTATATTTGCAACGATCGCTTAGTCCTTTTTATAAGGCATGATTGAGCGTGATCAACCTTCGATGCGAGCATCCTTCTACCAAATAATTTTTCAATACCGTTGGCTATTATCACACCTATTATTCTTTTCCCTATTTGGCTAAACCACAACCACAACATTTTTAATAATGACTCTCACTACATTGATAGCAAAAAAATATGCAGAATACCTCTGCATCACAAATCAGAACTTCAAACATCCAATAATAACTAAAACACTGGTAAAATGGGAACTCCCACCACAAAACATCTATAAACTCAATATAGATGGTGCACACTTAAAAAACTCCAACAATGGAGGAGCAAGTGGAATCATCAGAGATTCCGAAGGTAAATGGATTGATGAATTCTCGTATCACACAATGGTCTCATCACCCGTATAAGCTGAAATCATCGCCCTACTAAAAGGATTGGAACTTGCTTTCACAAAAAATCGAATTCCGCTTATAGTGGAAACAGATTGCTGGGTATTACTAAATCTACTACTTGACAATTCTCACAATAAAGCTAATACTAATCTTCTCCATGATTACAGGTTTTTGCTAGAAGCACTGGACCAACCGGAAGTTAGGCATGCCTACCGTGAAGGAAACCAAGTGGCGCACACACTAACGAAAATTGGGAGTAACTGTAACTCACATACTAACGCCAAATGTGGCGAAAACTTCTGTAGTGAACCACCTTTATTTGCTTTATTTACTTTCCGCAAAGACTTACTAAGGACTGTTTCGATAAGATCAGTTCGTAATAACTCTCTTTTATTTTAATACAATAATAATCAGCGCCCCGCGCCCTTTATCAAAAGAAAAGAATAATTGACGTTTATCCTTTGTAAAGAGCTGAACTCACTTCTGTAATCTTACCATTTATTTCTTTGTTATAAGACAATCTTTCCATTCTAGGATGTTCCAAAATGTTTGACATTGTTCTAGCTTAGTAAAACCTTCACAACTTTCAAGAATTTAAATTCATTAAACAATACTCCCTTCCATCCACTTTTATTAATTTTTTTGTTGTTTTTATATATATTAAGGAATTAATTTTTTAATATTAATTAACAATGAAATTGACCATATTAGCTTTAGTTTGTTCATTGGAAATATAACAATTCCTAAGTTTTTTACTCCAAGGACAACTTTAAAAAATAAAGTTAATTCTTTCTTAGTATATGAAAAAATCAATTATTGTGAATCACAAGAAAAATGCTAAAAAATCAATTAAAGTGGACCAAAGGAAATATACTCTAACTTGATGTAATACATATTTACTTTCTTTTTAATCATAATTTTATTATTCTCATTTGTCATCACTAATATATTATATGTCAAATTAGTATGTTAAATTTTCTGCTTAGTCAAATACGTTCACATTGTATGAAGCAATAATAATAAAAAGAGGCGAGATTAATATAACTAGTCAATGCAGTGCCAATTTGGCAAATCATTGGCTACTACAATTCAAGCAGGTAACCATAATTTAGCTTGAGACTTGAAGTCGTAAGATTCACACATTCACATTATCTTTACTTGAGCATGCCAGTTTATTTTCTTCCCTGATGGCCGTTCCTGTCTAATTGATGACAAAGGTGGATGTAGTGTTGCTATATCGGCTTCATATGAATTCAATATTTTAGACATGAAGCATAAACTTGTGTATAAAGATCAATTGAAATTTCAACAAATAGTAGATATGAACCCATAATTTTAAAAATACGATGAGTTCGATAGTAAAAATCTTAAAGGTTCAACCCTTAGAGCTTAAATCATAGATCCGCCTCTGATTAATAATGTGATAAAAGCACTACTTTCACCCTTCCTAAGTAGTCTCATGCCATTGGGTGTGCCTTACCTTTCAACATACAACAACAACAACAACAACAACAACAACAACAACAACAACCCAATATAATCACTGGGTCTGGGGAGGGTAGTATGTACGCAGAGTCGCAGACCTTACTCCTACTCTTGGGGTAAAGAGGCTGTTTCCGATAGACCCTTGGCATCCATCCTTCCAAGAACTTACCACCTTGCTCTTGGGGTGACTCGAACTCACAACCTTTCAACATATATATCACATATGAACAGTTTAAGCAGCTAAGAAAAAAAAGTTTTTGGATACTGAACAAAACCTGCTCACGCGTGTTGCTCTAATATTGACTTAATTCAGTGGCTTGGTAATTCGTGGGAGACCATAATTATGGAAATCATAGCACAGCTGGGCAGGAGTCAATTAAAGAACATGCACTAGTACTAGTGTTGTACTTTCTAACAAAACTATTTCCTGAATATTCTAAGTTTTTTACCAATGCTTCCTCTATAAATTGAGCAAGGACTAAGCTTAAATTCATCTCATCCAACTCCTATTCCTCCAACTTTCTCTCCTTCTCAATTGAAACAAAGCAATCTTCAAGTGACAAAAATGAAGACACCATCAAAACTTGCATTTTTCATAGTCCTAGCTCTGCTTCTTGCTGAATCACACATCTCTGTAGCTGTAACATGCAGTGCAATTCAGCTAAGCCCTTGCCTTGGCGCGATCACATCGAAATCACCACCGTCTATACTCTGCTGCAGCAAGATCAGGGAACAAAAGCCCTGCCTCTGCCAATATCTAAAGAACCCAAATTTAAGAAACTATGTCAACTCCCCTGGTGCCAAAAAGGTCGCTCGTACTTGTGGTGTTCCCTACCCCAAGTGTTAATGCTACATCAGTCTATCCATATCCTGCTTCTTGCTATGTGTTCTATGAGTAGGGAGTGAAAACTTATATGTTTGATGTCTCATTAGAGTTACTGTGTGTACTATGATCTTCACTCTTTGTTTAGTTATGTGTCTTTGCTTGCTTTATTTACGTACTCTTGAATGAAAAGAGATGAACCCATGCTACTTTAATATCAATGGTTTTAATATGTATAAGTTCTGTCATAAGTTTTCCCAAGACGATATGTGGTATTTCTCTATGTCTCTATTCTTGGCCTTTGATTTACTTGGACTAAATGCAAAATTTTTATTGTTCGAGTTAACTTGCAAGTTCTCAACTCGGGTGTGATCCAGCTCTTTTAACCGACGTGCTTGTAATCCCTGCAGCAGCCATTTCTTGCTACTATTTAAGAACAAGAACTTCCCAAAAAGAGGACATGAATAATTAAGAGATAATAAGATTCTGGAGAAAGAAAGGCATGAGAAAACTCAAAAGAGGGAATTTAAGTGGAAAAAGAAAACAAATAAGTGGACCCAAAAATACTTCAGGGAAAAGTAATCGCCTTTATAATTGAATAAAATAAGTCAACCAAAGTGGAGTTTTTGAATCCTCAGTGGGGGAAGAATACTAAAATTTGTTGCTGGGACCTAAAATTAAACTCAAAATGGACCATGTTACCATTATCATCATTCTAGATGAAATTAGAGCTCCATATCAAGCCTAATTGTTGGAGGATTTGCAAGTAAGCATAACAAATCCCTCAGTTTCCAATTTCTTTTTTCTGTCTTCCTTTTCCCTGCTCCTCTTGTTATGTATGTGAACTAAAAAATATGCTTGTGCAGGAAATTTGTATAGGTGGATAGCGAACAAGTACTAATCTAGCACAGATATCACAATTTCAATTGAATTATTTATTCAGAAAATGAAGCTGCATGATGTGATGCCTCAAATTCTAATCCTTCATACTGTTCTAAATTTATCAGTAACTGGAACAACTTGGAGGCTCCAAAATTGGGAGGCTCCAGAGTTTCATATACATGAAACAACACGCAATACAATCAATTTACTTACAAAAAGAATCTAAGCTTCTTAGATATGAAGGAGGTCAGAGATTTGGTTCCAGCCAGCGAACCATGGCCTCCTATCGGATGGAAGGACAAAATTAAGCTCAAACATCTCTCTTGACATGTTCCCTCCTTCACAGAAACCTACTAGCTTTGCCACTATCTCGGCGCTCTCATGTACATGCTTTGCATCATGCGGATTTGTCCAAAGCTTGTTAATAAATTGCATTCTCCTTTGTTTTCCCTCCAAAGGAACTTCCCATTTTATGTATAGATAATCTCTTTCTTCAGCTGTCAGACGGGTTGTCAATCTCTTGGCTAGAAATTCTCTTTCCCTCTTCAAAGCTCTAATGCTGTATTCCATTGGTAAATGTGATATTGTCAGAATTTGAGCATGAGCCGGGCTTGCATTTAATAAAGACTCTATGCACACATAAATAGAACATGAGGAAAGAGAGGAAAAGAAAAATACCTTGATGACAAAGAGACTGTTGGCTCATTTCCAACACGAGCCGGGGTTGCATTTCCAAGCTCAGCCAGGTGCTGTTGTAACCATGTCAAGCGCCTGAGTTCAACTTCCAGATATATTTCATCAGCAGGGTCTCCCTTAAATAACAGATAGAACTGTGACCTATGAATAATGGAAACGTAGCAAACATCCCATAAGTCAATAATTTGCTGCCTCTGTTCCTTAAATGTGATTTGCCATGAAACTGGGGACTCTTCTGGGATCTGATGAATGTTTTCATCATCCTCTAAATTGTATCCAGCCGCTTCATTTGCTTCCAGCTCAAGCACCTACGCCAGGCACAAACAAGTAATAAATTAAAATTCAAGAAGTTGCGGCAAAGGGATAAACTATGAAGAAGAATAGCAAAGCAGAAGCTTCAGGATGCCTGAAATTTTGAACAACTTCAATTAGTACACCAGAAACAAAGAGAATCCAAGCTTTACCTGGCATACGAGGAGCTGCTTTTGGTATTGAAGCTTGGCCACCCGTTCTTTAAGTTCTGTCACATATGATCTTATGTTTCTGACGTTCTCTTCTGCTGCCTCTTGAAACATCTTCTGCATTTTTCTCATGTTCACAGAACTGGAACGGCGATATGGAGTGCCTTCCTTTGATGAAACATCTCCTCCATCACTTTTTGTAGGAGTCTCATCCGGCTGAATTTCACAGGACAAATCATCCGAATCTGGAGCTCTATTTTCAACCTCACAATCCAGTACTTGTCGTGCGGTTGATAGAGGAGAACAAGGAGATTTCAAGAAATTTTGCCTGTTGATACTGTTGCTCGAGGTCAATGGAAGCAGCTTCTTCTTTTTTGATGGATGCTTTGCCTTTTGTGTGGTGTCATTGTTTGACTGTTGATCATTATTGCTTGGAAGAGACATAACCAGTTTGTCTAGTGATTTCTGAACATTTTCTAGCTGTTCTTCAAGATCAGCAATTGTGCTTCCTTGTGAGTGAAGTCTGGCTATCTCTTCCTTCAGGTTGGCACTGACACTCTTATTGACAGCAACAACGCTTCCAACTTCAACTTCTTTGGGAAGTGGCCGTATAGAACGCATTTCTCTGATCTCTGCTTGCAGCTTAGCAATAGTTTCTGCAGCATCTTGGTTACCTAGCCTATGACATGCAACTTCCTTCTGCAGTACTTCCAATGCTCGATTTGCTTCATCTCCAAGCTGCTCCTGGAGATGTTCGAGTTTTCGAATCTCATGCATGAGTGTAAAAGGGGCAGCTAAAGACTGCCTCATTGACTGCCTTCCCATTGTGTTTCTTGTTCTTTCACTACGGACAGGTGCTTTTTCTTCAAGGTTTGGAGATAATGTGCCGGAGAATGAGAGACATTTCTTCACAACCGGACTAACAGATTCAGATGGCTTTGGTCCCTGCTTCAGGGATTCAATGTTAGCATACAGAGACCTTTACTTCACTGAGTTGCAAGACAAGATGACTTAGATACAAACCTGTTCTTCCTGAAGTTTTCTGCGTAACTCATCAACTTGTGACTGTGCAAGATCCCTTTGACGCTTCAGCTCCTCGATTTCCATTTCCATCTAAAAG